AAAAAACGCTGTTTGGAGTCAAGTAAGTATCTATCTTTAGTAGTCAATATATTTTCTCGATAGTGATTGATTCAATTTTCTTTTGTAGTATAACCTCATCAGAAAAATTTGATAAAGAAAATCGCTATCGTACATTTGAACTATTATCGATACCCTATCCTGGTATGTATATAGTTTACCATTATTTTTCGTGTATTGATATGGAAAACTGAGTAGAACAGCGATTTTTTAAAACAGATTGTACTATAAAACAACCGAAAAAACTATACCTCAGAAAAGTTAATAGTATTTGTCATATATATACACGAGAGGTTCTGGTATTTTTAGCACCGTTTTTGTTCAAAATTTGGTTCAAAGTGAAAGTAAACAGAAAATTATTCTGATGTCATAGAGTGATCGAGTGTACTTTATAGCCTAAGAAAATCTGTGTTTGCAAACTACCAAGACCTTGTTTTCAGCTAGACAGATTTAGAGCTGAACCTTTTCTCGTTCTTCTGCCAATAATCGACAACTAAGGCCGCAAATGCAATCACATATAGGTATTCGAACATGCTCTATCGATTGGCATGCGTAACAATCCTTCCAGATGACTTTTATAATTTGGTCTCTGAAAACCTCGTTTTTCTGGAAAACCTATCCTGTGATGTATTTATAAGAACGAAGTCACCCATTCGTTTTGCCGCACAGAGAAACCTCTATCATAAAAGTTTTACGCCGTCTGAGCTATATTTATGGTTTTTGCTATAACGTGGGACATTTCGGCGTATTCTTCAAATATTCCACTTTAGAATTGACCTCAAGTCAAGATTCTTTTAGCACAATCTTTGACCGAAATATTACACATGTGGTGAAAGAATTTTGCCTTAACTACGTATACTTTGGCCGGAAGAAGGAACATGTGGGTGGGACAAATTGAGCGTCAAACACTACTAGATAATAGTATACCACATTTTGTGAGAAGACGAAAACAGCTAGCGAGTTGCGGTTTTTGTCAGTCGATTTTGACGTTAAATCTGCAGAAAATAATGTGAAAAAATAACAGGTATAAAACTTCTTGCGCAATTTAGCAAAAGTTGGCTTGACCACGGATTTTGATTTTTTGAGGACCACGTTCTGTAGCGCCGTTTCTGCAAAAATGGGAGAGATCACCCAAAACCGAGACCGTAGATCGATAGAGCAGAGAAAACACTATATAAATCGAGACAAAATATGTAATTTTGTCGTTCTGCGAGGTAAAAGGTTTAACTTATAAAGCAGAACATGCGAGAACTATTGAGAAAACAGAGAAAAGAATGTTTTGCTCACATCGCCCGAACGGTTAAAGAGTTTAACACCATATATAGACTGAAGTGTCCTCTACAAAATGGCAATAGTGTCAAGTAGTTTCGTTTAGCCTGAGCAGAGAACTAGGCCAGGCCATGCATTAGGATTAAACGGTACAAAAATCATGAGAACGTCTCACACACACTCTCTTACTTCTATCGAAATAGGTCGGAAATTGTGTTATACAAGGATTCATATGAGAAAAACGTTTTGTTTTTTCTTTAGGTTGTGAATTTTTTCGAGAGTTGTCGTTAAATGATTACAAAGGCGAACACATGTTTTATGATTGGAAACAGGTTTAATAAAAAAAACATTCTTCATATTCCCTCATGTGTATTTTTTCTTTTTTGAATAATGATTTGAATTTTTTTAGCCTGGAAACGATGCCAGATTTGAAGTGCCAAATGATCTTCAATCTTCTGTACTGACCGATTGGTCATTTTGGAAAGTAATTAAGTTTTAATATGAAGTTGTACTCAAAACACTGTCCTCATCTTCTTCATTTTCTTCTAGTCTTGGAATAGTGTTGACTTAACAAAACATTATTTTCAGTTAATAATTCGTCTACTTGAAAATTGTTTGTAGTATTATCGTATAATCACTGTACATATACATATCTTTTTATTCTTAATTTTAGCTGATCGAGGTATTTTATTACATTGTTTATCTGGCTGGGACCGTACACCGTTATTTATTTCAATGTTACGTCTCTCATTATGGGCTGATAACTGCATCCATCAAAGTTTAACTGTCGAAGAAATTCTTTATCTAACTATTTCATATGATTGGTATTTATTCGGGTAAATATTTTAGCATTTAAACATACATCAGTCATCTGTGTACATTCATTTTTAAATCTGTTTTGATCCATCTAATTACAGTTAATGATAGTGCTAGTTTCAGCTAATATGTCGCTTCTTACAGTTTTCTGATGTATCTTTCTTTTATTGACAGACATTGCCTTCCAGAGCGTTTACTTCGTGGCGAAGAAGTAAGTATTGTCCGTTTAGAAAAAGTATGCTCTCCATCTTTTTTTTGCATAACTTTTGATAGAAAGTATCTAGAAAGTTTTAATTTTCGCCATTCAATAAAAAAGACTTGGAGCATGTTTACATAAACAGAATTGTTTTTCAGAAGGGTCTTCTGAAAAAGCTTTACTAGGTAGTCTGTGAAAAATCCGACGATGTATCGGGTGTCCCAGGTAAAATGGCCCGTTTTTGTTTTTGCGATAACTCCATCATTTTTTGTGCAATCTGCTCAAACTGTTTTTTAAACGATGCGCCATTTAATTCTCTACAAAGACGTGTCACCAATTTTCTCGGAGTAGAAATTCTTAGAGTTATAAAAGAAGAAGCAAGGATGTGCAAAAGTTTCAACTTTCTAAGTCAAAGTTGCCGCACTTTCTTTGGCATTTTCGGCAAGTGAAACCACACTGACTGCTTTAATTAATGTTTGTTTCTAGTACTTTAAAGTATGGTCTTTCTAATGGCCTACAAGTAACGTTTGTTGTCCACTTAGCTGGCTCAAAAAGTCAGGATTTTTTGCAAGTACCAAAAAATTCGGCTTTTTTTACAACCTGTGTCAAATAGAGTAGACATACGGTATGCCAAATTATCAAAAGCGATTTCATTGAACAAGTGCGACTACAGGCTACAAAATGAAAAAACATTTATCGAAAAAAGATGAGTTTGGGCTGAGTTATGAGGATTTTCGTGGAAGAGATAAAAAGATGATTGCAAAATGGTGTTTTTCTGAGAAAACAGAAAAATCTCTTCTCGCCGATGCGGGCTTTGGAAAATTTTTGGAAGTGACTATCTGATAGAACTTTTTGCGGTCTTTCGAA